GGCGCTCTGCGTGCGCTGGGCTCTGGCCAACCTGGGCTGCGGGAGAGGGACCGGAGGCGGGTCAGGGACCCGCCTGGACTAGAGTAACTTATCGGCAAGTCCCCTAGGCAAGGGGGTTTTCTTGGGCTGGACCCTGCCCCTCCGTCTGGGAACCAAGGTGCTCCGCTGAATTGGAAAAGGCGGACGGGCATCCCGTGTCCTAACTTCCCGTTAAAGCAAGGCTAGGGCACGCAGCTCTTTAACAGGAAACGTGTAAAACCAGAATGAAACGTGTTGGCTTCCAGTGGTCCAGCATTTACCGCTTCCCAGCCTTTCGGCTACGATCGAGCGCGTGCGCCCCACACCTTACAGTGCGCAGGCACATTCCCACGGCCCCTGCCGGGCACAGGGGTCACACGGCCACTGCCGGGCACAGGGGTCGGAGTCCAGCGTGTAGGAACGGAGCCTGCGCGGGGAGAGACAACTCGGAAATGTATGCCCCCAAACCTAGCTAATCATCTAGGAGCTAAGAAGCAGGGCTGCAAAGATGACTGAGAGACTTGCTGCCCTAAAACAGGGCAGACACGACCGTGGAGATAGAAAATGCCCTGGGAACTTAAGAATGACGGTGTAGCCCTGACGCGTGCGGGCCAGTGGTTAGAGCGCCCTCCCCGTGCACCAAAGGGTCGCGGGTTCGATTCCGGTCAAGGGCAGGTAGCTGGGTTGCCGGTTCCATCCCTGGCCCTGGCTGGGGTGCGTGGGAGAGGCAACCAATGGATGTGTCTCTCTCTCCGTCTCTCTCCTCCCTTCCTCCCACTCTATCTAAAAGCAATGGGGAAAAAATATCCTCTGGTGAGGACTGAAAAAAAAAAAGAATGACCGTGTAGGTGAAATAGGGATGAGATGTGAACATCAGGTGCAGGCGAGAATCAACTCTGGACAGTGGTCTTATATGGCCACCNAGAATGACCATGTAGGTGAAATAGGGATGAGATGTGAATATCAGGTGCAGGCGAGAATCAACTCTGGACAGTGGTCTTATATGGCCACCTGACCTCTGAATGCCCTTATTTTTGAGGAATACCAACTAGGGAAGCCAAAAAGTCTAGAGCCATCCCTGACCACTGTAGTGGGTACAGGTCAAGGCCCTGTATGGCCACGGACCCTCTCTCTCTGAGTTTTTTGAGTCCTGGAGCAAGTGGTGCAAGAGGCAGAGCCAGCAGAGAATCGGTTTTGCCCCTGAGGGGGCAGTGGCGTCCAGGGCTCAGGGTCAGCAGTGGGGAGGTCAGGCCATGGTCTTGGTTGTGAGCCTCTCTGGGTTCCAGCCCACTTTGTGCATCAGGCTCTTCAGCCTCCCAGCACTCTGCAAGCTCCCAACAGCCTCTCATCAATTCCCTCTTCACTTGTTTTGGCCAGAGATGATTTCTGATGCTTGCAATTAAGAACCCTAATACTGGGTGTGAGAGACATTTGGAGGACGATTTCCTTCCAGCTACAAAAAATTAAATAAAGAAAATAAAGAAAACTAAAAGAGTTTATCTGACACTTGTGAGTTTCCTATGAGGTTCTAGACACAGTCCTAGATGCTTCACCAGCATTCTTATTTCATCCTAATGAGAAAACTCGGGCCCAGAGAATTTAATTCACTTCCCTAAGATCAGGTCGCTAGGAAGGCAAGAGTTAGGATTTGAACTGAGGTTTTTAAACTCCAAAGCATATGCCCTTTGCATCATAAAAGGCACATTCAGACCAGAGGGTTGATATGAGGATGTGTTGGTATTGTTCTCTGCCATTTCCTGTGTGTGTGCACACACGGGCAGGGCTGCACAATAGATTTTGAACAGTCTTTAGGATCTAAGCATACATAACAATGGTATTTTAATCAAAACTTGGTCATAAGAGCTGAAAAGTGGGAAACAGACTGAGCCAAGGGGAACTGGCTGTGCAGGGAAGTGGGCAGTGATGCCCACAGAAATGAGCTGTGACAGTGTGCTTGGAGTGTGCGCCTATGTGTGTCAGTAGGAGTCAGGGGACTGGAGAAGAGCCTGTGCCAGAGTGAGGCCCAGGACATGGGCCCTTGTCCACCATCAGGGTTTTGCTTTCTGCAAAGTACCCTGCATGTTTTTCTTCTAGCCGGGAGGTGCGCTTGGTCTAGCCTGCCACCTCCAGAGTGGGCGGTCCCCAAGGAGAGGCTAAGCTGGACCAAGTCACAGTGTGTGTCCCTCCATGACACACACGTTGTTGCCAAGGTGGCGGAGGGTTAAGAGGAGCTTTAAGATTACACCTGATGATTCGGAACATGAAGCCTAAGGAGTGCAGGTAGGAGGAGGGGGACAGGGGTATTATTTTGCTGCATTGGTGGCGATGGCAGGGTGACACCAGAATCAGGGTGCTCTTCCAAGTGTGGTTTTTGAACTTTTAGCATCAAAATCACATCAGTGGTTGCCCAAAATGCAGATCCCCAGGCTCTGCTAGAAACTATGAGATCAGGAGCTCTGGCTGTGCCCCTGGAAATGGACATTTTACTTGCCTCCCTCAAGTGCTTCTGAAGCACACTGATGAGGGAGAAGCACAACGTCTGTGTTTGCCTGGGAAGCTGTTCGCGAATGAGCCTCAGAGTCAGATCCACTTGTCCATTTATCTGGGAATGTAGAACCAGACCTCCAGGTAGAGATTAATGTTCATGGCCAAGGGAGGGTCTGGATCCCCAGCCCTTCAGACTCTGTGCTGCAACCAGAGGCACATAGGTCAGAGCACAGGCCTGAGTGGACCAGAGCAGGACCCAGGAAGCCCCCGTGTGACAGTGGGTGTGTGGACTCACAGGCTTCTCCAGCAAAGCGGCATTTTAGAACAGAATTAGGACACAGAGAAAAGAGAAGTGAACCACCACAAGGAGACCTGCTGGTAGCTGGTAGCAACCACATGGTTATAAATATAAAGCAGCTGAACCCTCCCCAAACATGACTTCACTGCAGGCACCCAGGCGTGCAGGCTCAGAATCCTGTTCACCCTCGGTGATCTTAAAGCACACAGATAACTCGCATTTCCTCTCCTCTCTGACCTTGACTTCCAGGAGTCTATGTGGTGTGACTTCAACACAGATACCATGTTTCTCCTCACTTCTTTTTGTACCATTAAAAAAAGGTTCATCCAGGCCCTGGCTGGGTAGCTCAGTTGGTTAGACTGGTCCTGATCCGCCGAGGTTTCGGGTTAGATCCCAGAAAGGGCGCACACAAGCAGCAGCCAATGAAACACGAGCAAGTGAAGCAACAGACTGAAGTCTCTCTCTCCCTTCCTCTCTCCAAAAATCAATTTTAAAAAGTTTATAGATATATAACTTACATATTAATCTATTCACCCCTGTAAAGTGTACAATTCAATGGTTCTAAGTATATTCAGAGTTTCTGTACCATTTTGTTTTATTTTTCATTTTCATTTTATTTTTT